CGGCCACTTACGCACGTCGCAGTCAGCTGAGCAATTCGGGGCTTATAAAAAATTAAAATATTTACGCCACATTAAATGCAAAAGGGCGAACATCGGCAACAAAATATGATTTTGTGCGCCAGGACACGCACACACGCACACTCGTACACACACGAGCACAAACATTTTATGGCCCGCACATACGCAGCCAGCGTTACCTTATGGCCCCAATGGGAGCACACGGCGTATGCGCAACTAATATTTGCAATATTTAAACAGCTTCAACAATTTCCACGTGCGTTTAGTTCACGCACATCTGCATTACGAAGGGCTGCTTGGTCAGCAGATAATGTCCGGCTTGGCCACATATTTATTACTGCCGCATTTTTATCAAATAATATGCACCTAGCGTCACCTGTACTACCTGTGATTCAATACCAGTTGGCAACAGACGACCTTCGTGGCAATAATTACAGATCCCTTTTCTGAACTACTCGCGTGGTCCACCTATTGGCTGCCTGTGTAATTTAATTGGCGTATTTATGAAGCCATCAAATTGTATTTACAAAAAATTATGCGCACATGTGGAAAAAAACTACAACTTCATTTGGGCTTAATTAATGACCAGATAATTGTTGGCTTTTGGCCAGATAGCCATGCACATGACGTGCATTTTTTTTTAGAATATTTTCAGCTTTACCAATTGGCTTTCGCTTCAAATTCTGCAATATTCAACAAAATATTAAAAGTTTTTTTTAATGACAAATGGGTTTCTGGCTTCAATTCGTGATCGGCGATAGAAATAAGAATTGTATAAAATATATCTAAATACAGAGCCTCACTTAACAGACTGTTAAAGATCATGTTAGTTAAACAGCTTTCATTTTGCCAAGAATATGTCAAGAATTCTGTAAATCAGACCTGTTAAACTTTATGTTAGTTAAAGTGGTGTTAAATTGTGTTTCGCCAAGAATATGTTAAATTTACGTGAAGTTGGCAAATCATGAAATGAGTTTTTAATATTTTTGAAAATTCAGTATGTCTGATCATTTTTAAATTAATGCTATTAGACCTAATATATTAGTTATAATAATAATAGTCGTTTTATTTAATAGGTACAATATTATAATTGCAAACTATTTCCATAACAAAAGGCATCTCGCTTTGCGATGTGTTGATGCGTACGGTTAAGAGATATCTGCCCGCAGGATGCAGAAAGGATATAACATTAGCTGTAACTCTATTGCTTAGGTAATAAATGCCCGGCTTGATGGGACACTTAAAGTAGGAATTGTTAACCACAATATCGTTGTAAATGCGTGAGAAGATTTTGTTCATAAGCGGATTATTCAGAAATCGACAGGCATTTTTGTACTTTAAATCGAAGAGAATACGCTCTGTTGTCTGCGATTTCACTTGAATGTCTAAAAAGAAGCTGTCCACCTGTCTGGTCGGCTTGAAGCTGAACACGTGCGAGTTACCAGGCACTTGCTGACATTCCTGGACTAAATCATCATCACAATTCAAGGCTATCGATTTGATAGTCAGCTTCAAGTTGTTTTTAATGTACAACTGTTGGGGAAAGTGAAAGAGACATGCATTTATTATTAAATACCAAATGCTTTCTATGTACCTCCCTCTTGACTGCGGCTTGCGTCCAAATCAAATGGCACAATAATGCCAAATAATATACTTTGGATGTGTTCATCGCGTTGACCACCAGATTACTAAACGACGACTAAACGAGCTAATGACAATATGACAATAGATTATTGGACCATTAAACTCCATCAAGTTACCAAAAACATTTCCGGTATCTAATTTGAGAGCAAATGTTAAATGTTTCAGTGTGGCCTGATCGGAGCTATAATTATAATTTTGCGGTTATGTGTGGGCAATCTTTCCGCTTCATAAAAATATTATTTTTGAATTATTTTATAGTTTTAGCTCTATTTCAAATACTTTAACATACATACATTCATTAGGAAATGTACAAATATTAAGAAAAAAACAACAAGAGCTAAGCAAACAATGACGAACAATATTATTTGAAATAAGTTTTTTTTTTTGGAACATTTCCAATTTGCCCGAAATGCACATAGGGATAGAAAAATCGAACAAGTACTCAATAAAAGAATGAGTACTATGTTAATACAATGTTGCCAGACTATAAGAATGCTTAACAGCTGTTATTATTTTAACATTTCTTTGTTTAGCTGTTTTTTGCTTGTAAGGTATTATACGTGCTAAGATCCTTCATACAACATATTATTATTTTTTCATTGCAAAAACAAATTAATAATAAATAATAAAATTGCATAAAATTGGCAAGGGATTATAAATAATAAAAATAACTATGCATTTCTCAAATTGTATTATCTCAAAATGTGTTCGTAAAGTATTTTCAGTAAGAAAAATATATATTGGAAGATTTATTCAGCAAAATATATTATAGCTCGATAGTATAGAATATAATATAACGTGTACAATGTCTACATTATAATAATAATCATTAAATAAGAATAAATATAGAATAAAATAATTCAATTTTGGAACAGTTTTCCATTTTAGATTAAAATTTCTGACTTGATATTTTGGGTTCAAGCCACTTTAATCTCGTACGAATCTAAAAGGACTTCCACACTGTTGACCCAGCCAACAATGGACCCACACACACACACACACACACACACACACACACACACTCACACACATGCACACCCACACATGTGGGAATTGTGGAAATATAACAAAAGGGAATGAAAACGAATTTTTGTTTTGGGATTTTCGCACTGCACTTCTAATTGTAATTTTTTTCTTTTTGTTTTTGGTTCTTTTTTTTTTTTCTTTTATGACATCGATTGCACTTTGAAATAGAATCCAAATAAAATCTGTGAATATCGATTTGTTTTATTATGCACATGCATTGAAATTCGTTGAGCTGCCACTTAAATTGATGGGAATGGCGTGAAGTACAAACAAAAGTGCTTCTAAGGATTAATTTTCTGGTTTCTATTTGTAGTTCCGAGCATGCGAAGGCAAATAATCAACTCTGTTGCCAATGACATAAGCTGAACGTGATTAAAGAGGCTCTTTTTAGCAAAAGCTTGGAGGCATTGTGAGGTAAATTAAAACTTTCATTTCTTACATAAAAACAAAACGCGTTTCGTGTCTTATTGTACTTCTATACGAATCTGCGTTCTGATAGTAGGTCCAAAATTCCAGCAACAGCAAGCCTAAAGCTTTAATGTGCTTTACCTTTTTTTTTGGGTTGTTCCGTCTCCAACTCTACTTTAAGTGAGCTTTTTGACCAATTCAAGTTTCGATACTAAAAGCTTTAATGTGCTTTTAAAGCTATATTATTTTAAGGCCCTACAATTTTCTTCTCTTAAGGCTTAATTGTGCCTAACGTAACTTAACTTGAATTCTTGAAAATGTTCATTTGCCAAATTTGACGTACTTTCCAATTATACTTGAGTTCTTCAAACAGTTCACATATTTAATTTAACTTGTAGCGAGCTTAATATCAGATTTTCTATGTTAAACTTAATTGTTCAAATGGTTATGTCAGCTTTTTTGGTTTCAATTTTGGCCACTCAAAACTTTAAAAAGCTTTTAAAGGGAATTATTGTACTGTTACTGTGCTTTAAGCTAGATAATTAAGTGAGCTTTATTGCTCTTAGTCTTTCCCACTTAAGGCTCAAATATGCTTTTGAAAGTTAATTTGAATTTGTTGAATTCATTTTTACGCCTGACTAATTTAACAATTGACCCTTTTAAAATCAGCCAATCGGCTGTCAGGCGCGCAGTCGGGAAAATCTACGATTCTGCCATTCATTCATTTGCATTTCGATTGTTCAGCCATCCATTCGTGTGGGTCATCGCCAAGGGTAACGCGTTTAAACCATATCAGGCCGGGACACGCCAGGACACATTTTGCCATTTGCAGCTGGTAAATAATTGAAGACAAAAGTGCGCGATTATTGAACCAAGGCGCGTCAGTACAATACACAGCTGCACACGAGCCCTCCATCTAATACACTCCCTCTTCCCCCGGCCGGCAATACCCCTGTAAGCATGTCAAGTAAAAATCGATAAATCGATTTGCCGACAAGTGTCATAAATTATGTATATGAATACTTAGGCACTGGCCCTGCCTGTTTCTGCAGTTAGCAAATGCAATTAACATTATTTTTAGTTCGCATTTAATTGCAATTAAATAGAACGCAAAAGGCCAAGGAATCGTTTGGCTTTGAAAGAACGCACTTTCTAATACCCTAACGTGCCTGCAAAAACTAACATAATTATCTTTTTGGATAAACTTTAAAGACAGTCAAATATCTTTTGCCAGCCCACACTCAAGAAATTGCTTCTCCTCGTTCTTGTGAAGAAACCTAAAAAATAGTTTCTCCTATCAAATATCACTAATCATACATAATATAAATATAAATACATAATATCTGAGGATTTCTCAGTGTTTAAAAATGAATGATAAAACATTTTCAGTGTTGGTAAATTGATCATAAAATAATGATAGCCAAAAACAGTTAGTCTATTTTTTATAGAACATAATATTTTTTAAATAATTATTAACAGATGAATAAATGTGCATGTTCATCTATCAAATTTATTAAAGCCCTGTTAGATAAACTCGCAGAATATCAAATGTACGGGCCCCTTTCCCAGATAGTTTATAGTTAACAAACTTAATAATAATTGCCAAAGCATTTATAATGCGTTACACGTTTAGTGGCAAAATGACAAAAACTCGCTGCGAGAGCATAAAAAGTCGACGCTAGCAGCTGCTGTCAAATGTCGCCTAGCCGTATACGCAATATATATATATATATATATAAATATATATATATATATATATATATATATATATACATGTAATTATGATATTCGCTGTGCTGGAGCACTTGTTTTAAGTGGTCACAGCTGCCTGTTTGGGCCCAAAATAAAAATAAAAAAAACATAGCCTGGCACAATTAGTAGACGGCATTGAGTATTTCACTTACCTTTCGCCGTCATCGTTGAAAGAGAAATCGCCCAGCAGCAGATCGCGAAAGCGGTAGCGAGGTTGTAAAATGCGTGACATGTTGTTGTTGTTGTTGTTGTTAATGTTGTTGTTGTTAATGTTGTTGTTGTTGGTTAGGTTGTTGTTGATGTTTGTGGTGGTTATGCTTGGCACTCGCAATGCGTTGGCTGTCTCCAGCGTTCGGCGCTCAGTTTCAATAGCCTCTTGAAAATCACTAAAGTCCGTCACATTAATTAAACACTCGTTGGCAGCTGGGGCAGCTGTGGCCGCATCGTTTTGGCGCCAATCATCGGGCGTTACTTCAAGCCGCTTCCTGCGTCCTGTCACGCCCAGCAGCTCATCCTCGCGTGTCGCACTTGTCCCCGTCAGCAGATAGCCGCCGCCACTGGCCCGATTGGGCCGTGGCGAACGTAGACGCGTCCACAGATTGGCGAATATCTTGCACCAGGCTTACACCTTGGCGCCTGGCGTGTGCTGCCTCCTCCTCTGCGTCCTATCGACTCTTGAATTGAATATGCAATTCAATTTCAATTGCAATCGATTACGATTGCCATGTCACATTGGTAGCGGGCGTGGCTATTCTTAAGCACTTGGTCAGTACGGTTCTAGCAGGTGAAATAAAATACATTATTAATTTAATGCAATACTCTGCTTAAATTAGACTTAAGACTAGTTCACTTAAAGTAAGTATAGGAGAGAGAGAGAGAGTAAAAAAAACATACAATTGCCTTAGTTGAATTTATGAGAATCACATAGAAAGGCGATACTTATAAGTGGGCAGGGGTCAGAGTGAGAGCGAACATCTAATTTACATAAAACTACACAAACTCCTTACATTCGGCATAAGAAACAACATAAATTTTTTTCTGTCTAGCGTATTTTGGCTAACCATAATTATTTAATTGCCTTCGGAAATTGCCAATAATATATGCTTGACACGCTAACGTGCAGGCAACACGCACATATCTGAAACTTAAGCGCTTTGAGCATTAGCTCTATTGAATACAAAAAATCTATTTATTTTCCTGACAAATCCTGATAACTGAAGGCAAAACAAAAAAAGAACAAAAACAGAGGCTGGCAAACAAATCAATGTCAAATCAAGTTTTTTTCTTCTATTTCTTCAATATGAACCACTAAAGAACAAAGCAGACAAAACAAACTCGCATATAAATAGCCGGACAAGCAGACCAGCTGGCTGACTGACAGTCTGAGAACGCAATGTCCGACCAAGTGGAGTCCACTTCAATAAATCCCGCTTCCGGGCCAGGCGGGCCCCCCTTCTGATTATTTTTGCTGGCTGCGTTATCAAATCATCTGCCGCAGCTTAGCCCGAGGAACGAGGCTGTGGCAAACAAATTGCGATGCCACTTCAAAACGTGTTTCGTTTTTGCACTTCCCTTCCACGAGCCCCCCCCCCTTCCCACCTGTTGTGAAAAATTTCAGCAATTACACACACACACACACACACAGACACATAGCATTTGGTGTCCTGGCCAGGTGCACGTCCTTGTGATCCTCGCGCAAATAAATGCTTGCCGGCTGCGTTTGGTGCGGCACATTAATTAGATTGGCGCCTTTGAGTCCCCAAAAATTTGGCGTGTTTTCCGTTATTGCATTTGGCCCATAAAATATTTGGGGCTTAAAGCGTTTTTAATTAGTTACAGCAAATTTGCGCCGAGCAGCTGCCTGTTGCGCCTACCCACAGCTCTGCCAGGACAGCGCTCATTTGTCTCTTACGCTCGCTGAAAATTGCGCCTAGCCCGTAATTAGCCAGCGGAGCAGAAGGTTCTAGCAGCCATTTTCAAATTAGTTTTTCAATTATATTTATAGTTTGACGCGTCGCATTAATTCTCCAGCAAATCTCTGGCATAATTAAGTTTTTGCTGCTACAATTAATATATGCCCCGCCGCCTGTCAGCACAAAAATCTGGAATTTACCAAACTAATATATGAGCTCTAATAATTAAATGTTGGCTACAAATGCAAACCTAATAGATTTAATTCAATTCAAACAACACTCCCAGCCTTCTCTTAGTTACAGGGTACACTTAAAGTTCCGAACGCGAAGGTAAAAATTAATCGACGCCCAAAAGTAGGCAACGTTTATTTTGTGCCTTGAAACTCGTGAACAGATTTAACTAAATTATTGCGAGTAATTCAACAAAACGAAACGAAATAGAAAATTTCTAGAGTCTGGCAAATATTTGCCACTCGCGCAATATTTAGTTAAAATGCAATTATTAAATGAACTAATTGTTTACATCGTTTGCTGAAAATGGGCGCATCAGCACATTTGTTTGGCTTTTATCCAATTATATTTATGCATGTGTGAAAATCGATGAAAATGAACGCAAATTTGAAACGCATTTTAATTAGCTGTAAATTAAAAGACAACAAAGGTTCGCCAGCAATACGTGCCCAACCGAACGGTACACGCATTTCATTTTCTAATCATTATTTATGATGCGAAATGCAAAAAAATAAAAATAAAAATTAAAAATTGAAAGGAAAAAAGGACGCAGACGGCCAAGCAAAATATGCGAGTAAATGTGTTTTTCTGGCCATCTATCTAATGCCTTAATTACGTGTTCCACACACACACACACACAGCATATTTTGATTTATAGACTGCGCGGGTCAAAGGACACTGCAGGACTCGCAACTGAGCCTGGCAGAGATAACAAATTATTGTATTTCATGCGGCGCGAACATTTCCAAAAAACGCAGCCTTCTGCTATCCCATTCATTAGTCGCATTGTATATTTAGCCTATTTTGTGTCTGTTAAACCGAAATACTAAAGAAAACTTTCGCGTGTTTAGCTACGGCGTGGGGTGGGTGGGGTAAATACTCTTCTTCTGTTCATATTTCGTACATATTCATCAACAATAATTGCCTAGCCGAGTTTTTGTTCTCTGTTTCCTGTCATTTTGTTGTCGCTCTCCCATAAGACTTTCGCGTATCCCCCTTGGCCCCTGCCTCCATCATCTTCTTCTTCATCTTCATCAACATCCAGAGCGGGTTCTTTGTAAGCGTGGACGAGGCGAAAACCTGTGCCCATCTTTGCCTTTCTGCCCACGAATATTAAACACTTATAAACTGGGCATTTGCAGTATGTCGCGTGTTGTGCAACACTACAAAGCCACTGCAGCCAAGCAGTGCTGGAAAACTATTCGATAGTGTCCTAATGATAGTTGATAGCTGGCTTTAACAATGTTATCGCTAGTTCGCGATATTCAAAATGCAACTTTTTGTTTGCCAATGTTCGGCTGCAAAATCATTTTCGAAGATCTCTGTGAAAGAACATCCTATCCGTGTTTCACAACGGGAAATGCCCAGTTCCTTAAATTCCTTAAACTTTAAGGTATATTTCAATTTATAATATGAATAAATAAGAACTTGAATTCAGAAAACTTAGATGCAGGTAGAGGGCAAGAAATTCATCTGCACTTGAAAACAGAGTCTTTAGTGTTGAATAACTTAAAAGAAAATTCTTTAAAATTAGTTTATAAAATCAGGATTAAATAGTTTTAAGCTTCTTAAAATATGCTCGCCTACATTGTTTAGTTTCGTAAGCTATAATATTGATAAATTATTTGTTCGATAGAAGACAGTTTCAAAACAAGTTAAGCTAGTTCTTATCTGAGAGAGAGAGAGTGTATTGCATATTCGTTACATGGCTTTTTTTCTCGTTTCACACTCGATGTTTTGTTTTACTTGCACGTGGAGGCCTCCGGGCTTTATTATTCTTTGTCTGACAATTTGCCATAAGAAGTCGTCGTCGGTTGCGGCTAGTTTTGTGCGCCTTTGAACAGCATCTTGTTCGGCTAGATTATCCGAAAGGCCTCCCCAAGCAGCGGCGCGCAGCAGACCGCAAAAGTCGCGCTGGCGCCACGCACCGTCCCAGCAGCAGCTGCTGCTCTCCCGCCCCTTTTTTCTTGTTGTTGCTGTTGTTGTTGTTATTATTTTGGCGACTTGTCGAGCACTTGGAATATTTTATAAGAAAAACTTGACCCGCTTTATGCAACAACAGCTTCAACAATGGCCGTGCAAATTCGCGCACATCGCCCTACACTTCCGTGAAATAACCGCCTCCCATCACGCACCTACCCGCCTCTCCCCTGCCTTACATCATCATCATCATCATTTTCATGCTCACTTCATCATCCCTGCAGCCCTTGAGCTGCTCACCTGGTCTCTCACCTGCTGTTCCCTTCAGTCGCTGACGTTTCGCATTGTTTCTGTTGTTTCCGTCTTTTTTTTATCATTTTTGCCATTTTTTAAGCTTCCCTTTCTCTAATTCTCGCTCTTTTGCTAAACTGTTTTTTTTTTTAAACCTTCATTCCGGCTCTTAATTAAAATTAACATTTCATAAAGTGTCAGTTGGAAAAAGGCGGCGCCAAAATTTTAATAGAAAAAAATATAAGTTTTTTATTATTTATGACTAATGCTGTTTACCGTCAACTTAGCCACCGTTCCCCTCCGCCCACCACTCACCCACCCTGCCCCTCAAGCCTCCCCTCACTTTGCCGCCAGACTGATTCTCAACTTTTCCAAATTATTATCCCTTATAAGCTTTAAATTATATTTAAATATTTATTTATTTAGCTTTTGTTTGCCATGCTTGTCTCTCTCTGTGAGTGTGTGTGTATGTGTGTGTGTAGGTGTGTTGGCATTATCTTTGGCATTTTGTAATTTGGGCCGCATAAAGGTCAAATAGTTAAACCTTTTTGTGTGTGTGTGTGTGTGTGTGTGTGTCAATTTAATTGAGACATTAAATATGAGAAAGGTTCCTCAATTTGCGGCCCACACTTTGTTGAAAGGTTGCCCGAAGATTAAATCAACCGCCGGCACATATTTTAATCAAGCACAATAAATCATTTTACCAAAAACTGGCACAACATTTTAACCAATTCCACACAATTGTCACAAAGTCAGCTCGTAATTTAGCCCAAATTGAGCTCAACTTTTAGCATAGATTACAAATTTCATGACTTTTCTAAATGCTGCAAATTTGTTTTGGCATTCAATTCCAGAGCATGTGCTTTAGAAATGAAATATTGCATACTTTTGGGCAGCATTTAAAATAAATTCAAAATGTTAAAATTTTAATTCTAAAAAAAAATGTCAATAATTGAATTTGATTTATTAGTTAAACTTTTCAATTCCAATTGTTATTTTTTAAACATTTTTTTTATTTTGCGCCTCAAAGAAATTGACAAAGTTTAAATCTTTATATTTATCATCATTAATATAAATATAAAATTTCCTTTTAAGTTTGAATATCTTTTTAATAAAGTACAAACTTAATAATATTATTAGAAAATCAATTGCAGACCAATATAAAATTTTAGTTATTTGCGAACTTTGTGTCATGTTGAAAAATAATTTTAAAAATATATATTTTGTGATATTTACGTTTTTTATATATATTTAAGCATTAAAATAAAATTTTCAATTTAATTAAAGACAAGCTTCCGTTGAAATCCCACGACAAGAAATAAGTTCACTAAATTTATTTATTTTTTAATATTTTTGTCACCAAAATATTATTTTAATCAAATTTATTTAAACAATTTTAGGGCAAGCAAAAATATTTAATTTTTAGTCATTCGCTCTAAATTGGAATTGACATATTTTCAATAAAAATTAAATTGAAATATATAATTAAAAAAAAAAGTGTAATGAAACCCCGTTTTAAATCAATTAAAACACTCCATAAAAAAGGGTTCGGATATTTTAATTTTAATTGATTTTCAGATGGGTTCGCTTTGAACGTCGAATTTCATAAAGTTTACGAAGTGCTCTTAACCTGCTCCAACTTTCGGTTAATCAATAAAGTTTCATGTCCTTTAACGGCAAATGCAGAAACCAATCAAATATTGTCGCCATCTGCATGGGACCCTAGGGACATGGGTAAAGCAGACTATCAAAATAAAAAAACAGCCGCTACGCTTATTGTTTTATTTTTATTTATATTTATTTTCATCTTTTTGTTAGTGAGATAATTGAATGCATTATTCAGATAAAATCTTTTACCTTTTAAGGCTCTTTAACACTTTACTGCCAGAGATGGAAATGTTGCCAGCATATTTTATGCGTAAAGTCATCAAAACTTTTGACAACAGAAAACTTTTTGGCTGATTTTTGTTGTTGTCGTTGTTGTTGTTGTTGTTGGTGCATTTGCTGCATGGACACAAAACTTTTTTACGGCCCGTTTCACATTAAATTTCGTAGTTTTTGGCATTGATAGAGAACGAGTACGAGATGAGCATAAAAGTAATAGAAGAAAAAACACGACACGACACGCATAAACGATCAGATCACTTAGGCACCGTTATATGTGTAGGCATTTTACATGGCTTCCTTTGGTTTAGCTGCTATCTCGCTCTCCCACACTTGCACGCATTAAAACAGTAACACACTCGTCGTAGGGGAGCTGAAGGGGAGCACACGCGACATTTGTCAAAGAACGGACAATAAACAATTGGGCCCAGCAGGCAGCGTCGGCGGCAGCGGCGAACACACAAAAATCTTTCGACAAATGCAAATAACGAAAAGGAACACACAAAATATATACAACGAATACCGTTACAGTTACCGTTACTATTAATTTTTATTTTCTTTGCCAGAGTTGCGAACCGAACGCGCGCGAGGCTCAATTAGAACTGAGACAGAAGCGAAAGCAACGCCAAGCGGCGTAGGTGAAGAATCGCCGTTAACGGTAAAGTTGTGGTTGTTGCTCTTGTTGCTGTGCCTGCTGCTGCCGCTGCTGCTGCTTCTGCTGCTGCTACTGCTGGCGTTGTTGTTATGCTTATCAGAAACAGCTGCGCGCCAAACGTTACAACAGTCAAAGCGTTAAGCTTTGCCAAAAGCTTCACACTGCCAGCAAAAATATTGGGCATAGTCCGAGTGCATGCACGTTTTGCAACTATAAATTAGCTTAAATGTATAATTGAATTGAATTTAAATTGTTTAATATGAGTTATTTACGTTAAATAAAGGTAATCGCTTGTGTTATTATAGAAAATGTATTAAATATTTAAAGTTAGCTGGTTACCCAAATGAAAATTAAGAAGAGTATGTAATATATGATAAATATTTAAAATTTAAAACTATGATTTAAATATAATTAATTAATAAAAAATGTACTTATTTCTTAAATAATTTTAATATTTAACTGATATTTTTTTATATGCATTTATAATATATTTTTTATTATTATTTCAATTTTATATATTTTTATATTTTAATACCCAAAGCAAAAAACAAACATAGCTTTAAATTAATAAAGAAAAAAAGTTAATAAGAAGTGCATGGGGCTTTATAGCTCTATCTTATCTTTATCGTCGCCATATAAAAAGCCAGGTGTTAAAATTTACAAGCTTTAGATAAAATGCACATAACTTAATACTACGAAGCAAATATAACCTAAGAACTATTTAAAAAAAAAACGTCGCAGCCAGATTTGACGGCTAAACAGCTAAATGGGCAGCACTGGCAGAGGCTACGGGCAAGTGCATCCAATGTCGAGTTCGATTTAATGCACTTTTCGACCTGACTTGACTAACAATCAATATGTTAATAGAAAACAAATAAATGAAGCTCAAATTTGTATAAAAAAGTAAATGCTAATTTATTAATGCACAGAAAAACTATATAAGAAACTTTGGATAATTATAAAAAATGGAATAATTATTGCGTAATTTTGGCCCAAGAAGTAGAAAATAAATGAAAAAAATTTTTAATAATTCTCCGTGGTGCGAACATAGTTAACGCCCGATGGCATCGAGACCTTGTCAAAGCCCTTAGGGAACAGCTTGTGGGCCTCCTCGTCGGTGACGCTTGGCAAGATCATGACCTTGGTGCCGGGCTACAGTGTGCACAGAAAGTATGCGTTTAATGAAAGCCCAAAAAAAAAAAAAATTATATAATATACTCACAGTCCAGTTGGCGGGCGTGGCAACCACCTTCAAGCGATCGGTCAGCTGCAGCGAGTCGATGGTGCGCAAGATCTCGCTGTGCAAAAGGAAGGGTATTAAATGAATCAAATGGCATAGAAAAAAATGTCTCATTCTACTCACTCAACGTTGCGACCGGTGCTCATGGGATAGAACATGGAGAGGCGCACCTTATGATCGGGACTGATGATGTAGAGAGCGCGTATGGTCTTGGCCACCTCGGGATCCTTCTTCTGCTCCTCGTCGAGCATGCCCAGAGAGACGGCCAGATCGCGTGTGGGATCAGCAATAATGGGATACGGAAAATCGCCGGGAATATCTAGGCAATAGGACTTGATGTCGTTCACCCAATCCACATGCGAGTTTAACGCATCCACCGAGTGCGCCAGACACTTGGCATTGCGCTTCGCAAACTCCGGCTGATGCACCGCAATGCGGCCCAGTTCCGTGGTGCAAACGGGCGTAAAATCGGCGGGATGCGAGAAGAGCACCACCCAGCTATAGGGAAAGTGGACTATATATATATATTTATAGGGTATGTGCAATACTCACGAGTTGCCCTGCCATTCGTGGAAGCTAATCGGACCCTTGGTGGTCTCCGCCTTGAAGTTTGGCATAGTCTGGCCCAGACGCATTTTGAATTATTTAATTATTGAATATTTTCAAAAAGAAGATTTCGCTTCACTTGTTGCTTGTGTAGTCGCAAGTCGACTGAATGACAGCTCGACGGAGGCGCGGCCTTTTATACACCCCACATTCCACAGACGTGAGAAGTTAAGAACGACAGGGAGAGGCAAAACGAGCGAGCAAGAGGCAGTGCGAGCGAGAGAGACAGCGCGAGCAAGAGAGAGGCAGCGCGAACGAGAGGCAGAGTGAGCGAGAGACCGATCGGTTAGCGGCTCGTCGAACGTTGTCAAGCGCGGCCTTATCTGGTATACAAATATTATATGAAAGTGTGTGTGTGTGTGTGTGTGTGCTGTGTTTGCCGTAAGCCCAACCATGCATGCATATATGTATGCATATGTATATGTATATGCATACATACCTAACGATATTTGTATATATCTAGCCATGCACACTTGTGTATTTATAACTACCGCAAATTTAAAATGAATATAACAAACAGCTGCACACGACAATAACAACTATTGCATGCAGCTTACAGCATCTACTCACATTATCCACATACCATATCGATTGTATATATGTATGCACAGATCGGTGTCGGGTTTTTCGCTGGCAATATTAATTCTTGCTGATGAAATAATCAAAGTTGCCAACACAGTTGCCAAATGACATAACCAAAAACAATTTGCAAGCAATACCATAAAAAGCCGCTGCAATTTGTCAAAGCTCAAATTCGAGCTGCAGCAAAACATAAACAGAGAGCCGAAAAAAAAGCAGAGCGCAGCAGTTGCTTTGATGGTATTAGTGAGCGCCATACAAATCGCAATACCAACGCACATTTTACGCTCAATTCCCAATTCCCACACGCTTCGAGAACTGAGAGAGCGGCGCTGCGTTTGGCTGTGTTAGTGAGTGCCATGCGTTTACCAACACACGCAAACGTTTACGCTCAGCGAGGTTCGTTTCTACGCGAGCAAACGCTGTGCGTGTGAGCTCATGTATGAAAGCAACTTGTTCAGCTGATTGCGACTTCGTGTTTTTGAGAGTTCGACAAAGAGAGCCACAGATTGTTTAAGTGTATTGGTGTGTTGCATGCAAAATACCAATACTAATGCCAATTTACGCTCATTTGGTGCTCTGCGACAAATGTGTGTAGGAACTCTCGGGTTCTAATCGGGCAAACTAAACCTAAGCTGTGCAGATGCCTCAGGACGGTCAAGCAGTTAGGATCATACTATATAGAAGCTAAATAACCAACTTCTTTTGCAACTTCTATATTATTTGAAAATATCATATGAAAGTGCGGCAATAAGTTCAGTCTTTGCCCTTGTCAAAGTGAGCTCAGTTTATTTTTATATTTTGTTTTATTTTTTTTTTTCAGTCGGGAATCTAAAGCGCAATAATCTCTGTTCCGCTTGAAATTCTCTGGTTATTTTCCATTCCGACTTGTTTGTGCGAAGCAGCACAACAACAGGCCACAATCTCATTTGTATGCTCGACGATAAGAAGCCTAGTTAGGCCAAACGAGCAAACAGGTAGCGCTGCGGCGGGATGGGCCACGTGTAGCGTCAAATGTGTCCCTGAAATACCTATATGATATTCATACAGGGTGCCGCATCTGCGTGCTGTGGTTCAAAGTCTTCTAAGATAATTAATGCCAAAACTTTGGATTAGTTCTTAAGCTGCGCTTGTCCGAGCACAACCATTTATCCAGAGCTATAAAGCTATTGAGTGAGCGCAATTTTTAATTAGTATTGGTAATTTGTATGGAATGCACCAATACCTGTGAAGATTCTACTGCTCTCTTTGTCAAACTCTCAAAAACACGAACTCGCTAGCAGCTCACACGCACAGCGTTTGCTCGCGTAGAAACGAACCTCGCTGAGCGTAAACGTTTGCGTGTGTTGGTAAACGCATGGAACTCACTAACACAGCCAAACACTGCGCCGCTCTCTCAGCTCTCGAAGCGTGTGGGAATTGAGCGTAAAATGTGCGTTGGTATTGCGATTTGTATGGCGCTCACTAATACTATTAAAACAAATGCTGCGCTCTGTTTTTTTCGGCTCTCTGTTTATGTTTTGCTGCAGATTGTTCCATTTAAAGCGACTTTTGCTTCAGTTGATTATTGTGGTCTTTAGCTAATTGGACAGGTTTTCAAGAATTGACAAAGCTATTGCCATGGGGCATTGATTCTCTGGTGTGTGTGAAATTTATTTAAATAATATCAAATACCTTAGAAAAATGTTTATATTCGTAAAGTAAAAAAGTATAAAAAAATATATTTGTTACACTCATTTTTTATTATATGTACCCTTTTTATGGGCAGCCAAGTAAATATGTGAGATAAGCTCCGTCTCTTCCCAATTACAGCTCGAGTCCGGCTGATATGAGTATAAAAGCGAGCATTTGGCGCGAGTTTCGCTCAGAGAGCAGAACAGCAGCTAACTGAAGGTTAAACAGCTGAAACATAAATCTTTCTATAAAATATATATATATATAATATATATAAATCCAAGTCATGTCGCTGATTTGTGTCGCCGACTTTGAGCAAAGGGCCAAGCAGCAGCTGGAACGAACTGCCTTGGACTTTTACAGAAATGGCGCCGGGGAGCAGGTGACACTGGGCCAGAACCGTGAGGCCTACAAAAGGTGCACATCTTAGCCCATCGGAGAACTATCTCTTTAATATAGCCCACATTTTTGCGTACAGATTGCGTTTGCGTCCGCGTTGCCTACGCGATGTTTCGCAGCTGGACACGAGCTGCAAGATTCTGGGCCAGCAACTGAATTGGCCACTGGGCATTGCGCCGACGGCCATGCAGAAGTTGGCCCATCCGGACGGAGAATTGGGCACGGCACGCGCCGCCGGCCAGGCTGGCTCCATATTCATACTGAGCACGCTCTCCACCTGCTCCATAGAGGAAGTGGCCGTGGCGGCGCCCGAGACCTGCAAATGGTTTCAGCTCTATATCTACAAGGATCGGTGAGTGTCCAGCGCAGACAATCCAAATTGTCAACTGTATCCGTGTCCATTTGCAGCTCGCTCACGGAGCAGCTGGTGCGCCGCGCGGAGCTGGCCCAGTTCAAGGCGCTCGTCCTGACCGTGGATCTGCCCATCAATGGGGATCGACGCGCGGATGCACGCAATCAGTTTAGCCTGCCGCCGCATCTGAGACTGGCCAATTTCCAGGACGAGCTCATGCAGGGTTTCGTGTCCAAGTTAGGCGGCTCCGGCCTGAACGAGTATGTGGCCAGCCAATTCGATCCGAGCATCAGCTGGCAGGACATCAAGTGGCTGCAGCAGCTCACACAGCTGCCCATTGTCCTGAAGGGCATTCTCACCGCGGAGGATGCGCAACTGGCTCGCAATTTCGGCTGCGCCGGCATCATTGTCTCCAATCACGGCGGACGCCAGCTGGACACGGCGCCCGCCACGATTGAGGCTCTGCCGGAGATCGTGGCCGCCGTGGGCAAAGATCTGTTGGTCATGCTGGATGGCGGCATTATGCAGGGCACTGACATATTCAAGGCCCTGGCCCTGGGCGCCCAAACAGTCTTCATTGGCCGCCCGGCGCTGTGGGGCTTGGCTGCCAACGGGCAGCGCGGCGTGGAGCAACTGCTGCAGATTATGCGACACGATCTGGAAATCACCATGAAGCTAGCCGGTTGCCCCACACTGCGCGATATACAGCCCTCCATGGTGGTGCATGAGTCCAGCTATTCGCAACTTTAACTTAAGATTAAGAGCTTAGTACAGATCGATTTATATTTTATAATTGTTTATCGTTAAGCACAAATAAATTCCCAAACAGAATTCATTCATAAAGCAAGTTGAAGCTCAAATTCGGATCGCAGCAAAACATAAACAGAGAGCCCAAAAAAAAAGCAGAGCGCAGCAGTTGCTTTGATGGTATTAGTGAGCGCCATACAAATCGCAATACCAACGCACATTTTACGCTCAATTCCCACACGCTTCGCGAACTGAGAGAGCGGCGCTGCGTTTGGCTGTGTTAGTGAGTTCCATGCGTTTACCAACACACGCAAACGTTTACGCTCAGCGAGGTTCGTTTCTACGCGAGCAAACGCTGTGCGTGTGAGCTCATGTATGAAAGCAACTTGTTCAGCTGATTGCGACTTCGTGTTTTTGAGAGTTCGACAAAGAGAGCCACAGATTGTTTAAGTGTATTGGTGTGTTGCATGCAAAATACCAATACTAATGCCAGTTTACGCTCATCTGGTGCTCTGCGACAAATGTGTGTAGGAACACTCGGTTCGTTTTGGCCTACTAACCGTTGAGGTAGTCAGACAGTGTAGAGCCGTCAGCTCGTAAGGATGAAGTTAAGAGCTCTACTAAAAGAAATAGCCGAGTCGTAAGCGACTGCTCAGAGCTACTGCAGGATGTGGATTACCTTAAAAAAAAAAGTATATTTGAAAGCGGATTACTTGTGCCTTTTTCTATAAAAACAACTGCACACGTGTTTACGTAAAAGTCCAGTACAGTCTATGCCCTTGATAAAGTGTATTTTTTTTCCATTCCACAGTTTTAAAAATCTACAACGCAATAGCGCTAAGTTCATTTGAAATTCTCTGGTAATTTTCCATCGCATCTGCGATTAGTAAATGTGTTTGTCAACAAAATATAAAAAAACGGGCCATAGACATATTTGTATGCACAGCGTTTACGTAGGTCGAAGCCGTAGATAAGAACCAGATATTTGAGCAGCAACAGGGCGCGGGGTGGGGACGGTTACTGGTAGCGACCGTATACAGGGTGTTTTAAATGATTGCATTTTATATTTGAAAGCAAAGCAAGCTGTGACATAGACTTCACGTACAACATCTTTGATATATTTGCCTATGCTGTTAACATTCAAACCAGCGCTCTCTGCGCGCCTTATCGATAACAGCTATGTTAAGTTCGTGGCGAATGGCTACACTTAACAGTTGCACAGCCGTTTACAGTGCATTGGCATAGGCATTAGCAGTAACATAAATTGCCAAACAGTTAGAAAACCCGGTCACACTGCGCTCAATTCGAGGTAAAAATCTTAAACAAAAAGTCATTTGTGTGATTTTAAAGTGCACTGAACTTTCGTAAAGGTAACGAAATTAAATGTTTAATTCATGCAGTCAGTTAACCAAAATAGCATATTAACAACAATATCACAAGCAGACCAAAAACACAGACCTCACCATTTGCAATGCATTTATTTGGCCACCAGCAAATTTTTTCTGTATGCATGAGTGTGTGCGTGCGTGTACATATGTTTTGCGTGTGTATGTGCATATATGTGTGTGTATGTGTTTAGTGTAAATGTCGTGCGCCTGTGTGTGTGAACTGTGACTGCCTGCTGCTGCTGCTGCTGCTGCTAGGGGGAAAACAAAGAAAACTTCAAAAAAGAACGACGTAAAAACGCATTTGAAACGCATTTTATTAACTGTTACAAACGCGGAGTGTGCTTTGGCAAAAACGCAATTGTGTAAAAAGTTGGTTATTGATTTTATTTTTATTGCATAGCTGCATGTAGTTGTAGTTAAGTTGTTGTTGTGGCTGCAGCTGCAGCTGCTTCTGCTGCCTCTGTTATTGTTGTTGTTGTGTTTGTTGCTGCCTGCCTGCAGCTGCGCGTCGAAAAACTGTAAACTGCTGTTATTGCTGTTGTTGCTGTCTCACAAAATTGTTGCTGTACATCAATTTTCTGCTAGCGACGGGTGGGGTGTGTGGGGAAGATCGACAACAGGACATTTGTTCAGGCGCACGCATACAGTTGCAGGATGATGCCATGTTGTTGCTGTGTTTGTTATTTGCTGCTTTGCACCTGCATTCGCCCTTCACTTCATTCCACCCTGTCCCGCACACTCACACACACACACACATGCACACACACAATCAGCATACTTTCATATGTGTTTCTGTTCTTCGCTTTTAATTGCTTCTTCCAAAAAAATCTCTCTCAGAGTACAACAACAACAGCAAACAGCAAAAACAATAAATAAAAAGAAACATGGATTTTGAGCATGCCGATAACGATAACGACAATGAGCATAATCCGAATTTATCCACGGAAAACAGCAACGCGAGCAGCAGCAACAACAGCAACAACAGCAATTTACAGGCAGAGGCCACAACAGCAACAGCTGCTGTTAATGCAACTGCAGCCAGCGGCAGCAGCAGCTCAGCTGCAGCACTGTTATTTAACATAGAGGCTGAACAGGCCGCAACAAACACAATACAAGAACAAACTGAAGCCGAAAATGAGCATGAACATTCACCTACTCCTACTCTACAGCAAACACCACAGGCAGACGAAGCACGCGTCGAGGCAGAGCCAGAGCCAGAACAGGAGCACGAGCAGGAGGAGGAGCAGCAGCAGCAGCGGGAATATAACGAGCCGCAGCAGCAGCCGGAGATAATCGACGCGGACGCCATTGCCGACACGATTGACGCGGGCGCCATTGACAACGATAACGACGCCGTCGTGGAGCGCATTGACGATTACGACGACGAGGACGAAGGCGACGACGACCTCGAAGCGGAGGAGGAGGTGGTGGAGGAGGAGGAGGCTGACGCCGACGCCGACGCTGTCGCCGTAGCAGCAGGAACACCGCCACCAGCCGCTGCCGTAGCAGACGACGACGCCGCCGTCGCTGCAGCCAGTGGCCAGCAGCGTCTGCATTCTGTGGCCGTCTTTCCGAGCTATTCCTCGGCGCGTGCCCCACTGCCACCGCTACTGCGTGCGCCGCGCAGCCATCACAACAGCAACAGCAGCAACAACAACAATACCAATAGCAACAACAACAATAATAACAACAACAGCGGCGCATCCAGTTCGCGACGCACGCGTCACTTTTACAGCAACAACGGCAGCCACTTCAGCAACGACATGTACGCCGGCGGCCACAAAGGAACCAGCCAGAGCCACAGCCACAGCCACAGCTCGTCCCGCTTGGCCAGCGGCAGCAGCGGCGGGGCAACAACAGCCGGCGGGGGCGCAGGCGGACGCAGCGCAAACCAATCGCACCAGGGCGTCGATCCCTTGCGTCTCCTCTATCCGAATGTGAACGAGAACGAGACACCGCTGCCGCGCTGCTGGAGTCCACACGACAAGTGCCTGACCATTGGACTCTCGCACAACAATCTCCGTGTCACCTACAAAGGTGAGTCGACAACAATGCAACAGCACACCGAGTACATACAGATGCATTGTCATTATGTTAATTAAGTTGGATTTATCTAGGACTATAATATGTATATGGGAGAAAAGAATACTGTAGGAGAATCTTAGATTCTTATAGAATAAATCTTTCAAGTGCTTGAGTTCAGCTTTTATAGTATAGATCTATTCTATTCTATATCTATTCAGATAGATAAACTTTCATTATGTTAATTAAGTTGGATTTATCTAGGAGAATAATATTTATATGGGAGAAAAGAATACTGTAGTAGAATCTTAGATTCTTATAGAATATATCTTGCAAGTGCTTGAGTTCAGATTTTATCTGTTTATCCTTATAGTATAGATCTATTCTATTCTATATACATACAGATAGATGCATTTTCATTATGTTAATTAAGTTGGATTTATCTAGGATTATATGTATATGGGAGAAAAGAATACTGTAGGAGAATCTAAGATTCTTATAGAATATATCTTTCAAGTGCTTGAGTTCAGCTTTTATCTGTTTATCCTTATAGTATAGATCTATTCTATTCTATATCTATTCAGATAGATAAACTGTCATTATGTTAATTAAGTTGGATTTATCTAGGAGTATAATATGTATATGGGAGAAAAGAATACTGTAGGAGAATCTAAGATTCTTATAGAATATATCTTTCAAGTGCTCGAGTTCAGCTTTTATCTGTTTATCCTTATAGTATAGATCTATTCTATTCTATGTCTATTCAGATAAATTGTCATTATGTTAATTAAGTTGGGCTTATCTAGGAGAATAATATGTATACATATGAGCTCTAGGTCAATGTTCAAAGTCTTTGTTTTCCTTTCATTTTCCAACGTTCAAGAAGTTTATTTGAATTTCAAGTAGATTCATTAAATTTTGTAATATTATAGACGGAACTTTATTTGATACACTTGTTTTTCAAATAGGGCAGATATAATAAATAATTAATTCCTTCGAATATTCAGGGCAAAAATATTATAAATAATAAAAAGGTCAAAAATATTCGAAGGAATAAGATTTTTAATCTATTAAATCGGTCTAGCTTCTACGTGTTAGGCTTTCAGTGAAACAAATTAATCAGCTTTATATATTAAATAACTTTGATCTGTTCTAAAATCTCAGCTTCAACATTCTTTAAATTCCTTTCATCTGTTGAGTTCCCAAATTTCAAGTGCCTTAACAGGTAGTTAACATAAGATTCTAATGTTAACAGGCTGTTATGAGTTTAATTATTTTTAATTATAGGTTATCAAGTTCGCGACAACTTCCTAAAAGTGAGTCATCAGAGCGAGCAGAACGTTAGAAATATTTTGTACATACTTATACATATATATATGTTAAGATATACTAAAATATGGTTATATGCACCGCGAGCAAAGTTAGTAAACAGGAGCATTTCTTTAACTAAATCAATACAACATTAGCTTAACATATTTCTAACAGTGCATACAATTAAGGCTGATTTAGTTGATAAACGTTAAAATTACATTATATTAGACTGGCAGTGCTGCTTCCTCTTGCTCGCTTAACAGACAGCAACAACAGCTGCTCAAGCTGCCATTTTTGGTACAAAACGCCAACGCGCTGCTTTGTGTGGCGACCCCACGGAATGTCGGCACAGCAGTTGTCTCGCTTGCACTCGTGCAACTGTAATGGCTGCTGTTTTGTTTTTTGGCGCCCACTTCTCACACGCTTATTCGCGTGCTGACCTGCGCTTGTGTGAGTGCTTGGCGAACAGCTGATTGGCTGCACACACTTGCAAGTTCGGTGTAGGAGAAAGAAATGAGGTGTAGCAATTACAGTGCGCGGTCATTATAACGAACAGCGAACATATGTAAAAGAACTTAGTTGGGCAGCAAATTTGTTGAAAACGTACAAGAAATGCACCATAAATAAGCAGATTTATAAGACAATAATGTATCATAATATTAAATAACAGCTCAGCTAGCGTGTGTTTACTGTACTTCTCGTGTTTGCTTACAGGCGTGGGCAAGCAACACAGCGAGGCAGCAGGCTCTGTGCGTACCGCATACCCGATACCATCATCCTGCGGCCTGTACTACTTTGAGGTGCGCATCATTTCCAAGGGCCGCAACGGTTACATGGGCATCGGACTGACCGCCCAGCAGTTTCGCATGAATCGCCTGCCAGGTGCGTATTGTGTGAAGCGCAGAACTCATATGACATACCCACTGTTCTGTGCACTTCTCTCAAGTAGGTGGGGACAAGCAATCGTATGGCTATCACGGCTACGACGGCAACTCGTTTAGCTCCTCGTGCAACGGCCAGTCGTATGGGCCCACCTTTACCACGGGCGATGTAATTGGCTGTTGCGTCAATTTTGTGAACAACACTTGTTTCTACACCAAGAACGGCGTCGATCTGGGCATTGCATTTAGAGATTTGCCGGTATTTATAAAAATTAAAATTAACATACAAATTGAATTGGCAACTGAACTCGAAATTTAACCACACAGACCAAACTCTATCCGACGGTGGGTCTGCAAACGCCCGGAGAGGAAGTGGATGCTAATTTTGGTCAGGAGCCTTTTAAGTTTGATAAAATTGAGGAAATGATGCGGGATATGCGCGTCAATATATTGCGCAAAGTCGACAGATATCCACATTTGCTGGAAACGCCCGAAAACCTAATGAACAGGTAAGCATTCAAATCATATCAATTGGTTAACAAGAAACTAATGTTCTATGGCTTCAACAGGCTTGTCTCCACCTATCTGGTGCACAGTGGCTATTGCAAGACGGCTGAGGCTTTTAATGGCTACACAAATCAGCCCTTCGACGAGGACTTGGCCTCCATCAAAACACGTCAAAGTGCGTACAATTGAAATGGTTTAATAGAGATTACTCCCAACCGATAAATTGTAGTCGTATACTCTTGATCGGACTTTGTCCGTTTATGCGAGACAGACTCATACTGGTTATGTTGTCATTTGATTTGAACATCTCTTTCCGCTGCTTTCAGAGATAATCAAGCTCATACAGACGGGCAAAATGAGCCAGGCCATCGAGAATACACTGCGCTCCTATCCGGGTCTCTTGGAGAACAATAAAAATCTTTGGTTTGCACTGAAGTGCCGCCAATTCATTGAGATGATAAATGGCGCTGATATTGAGGTGAGTTTCTCAATTGTTTCCACCAAATAAAAAGTAAACGCGTTGTCAATTTATTTACAGCACGCCAATAACAAAGTAACCGCCACCACACAGACCATGCCCACAAATCAAACCTCGGTCATACAGTCGACCAAGGCATTCAAGCACAGCAAATCCGGCGGCTCCGGAACCGGCACCGGCACCGGCAGCGGCAGCACCAACAACCAGCCACAAAACAACACTGCGAACTCAGCTGTGATAAAACCAGGCGATAAAACAGATCCCAAAATGTTTGTAGCAAAAAATTGAACTATTTGATATATTTGTATTCTAAATTGTTGTCGCATTTGCAGCATGCTTATTGATGACAACTCCAACAAGTGTCCGGAGCACGATTCAAATAGCATGGACGTGGAAATGGAGCCTTGCAACAGTCACTCCAATGGTGCGTTTCAGTTCTTAGTACAATTATGCTTACATTCCGTTATAAAACGCGCTCACTACGAATTCCTTTAAAAAAATAGGCGGATATTTACCTATGTTATAATTTGAAAGCCTAAAAATCCACTCAGGTTCGACTTAAGACTGATGATTAGGCACGCGGTTTGAGAAGAGTTCAATTGTGATAGATTATTAAGGTATATTTAACAAGCACCTAAATGGTATTTTATAATTGTTACATAAAAGATGCTCAGGTTCTGGCAATTTACGTAGCGACATCTAAAGATACTTTCCAATTATATTATACTATCTATAAGAAAAAGACTTAATTATGGCATTGCTAGAAAAACTCTTCAAGAACTTAGGCAGACATGGTCTGAGCATATATGATAATATTATTATAAAAGTAAGATATTTTAAATAATTATGGCATGAATTTTAAACTGATTCAAGCTCGATGCGAAACTGTTCTAAAAGAAGAAGAATTCGAGTGGAAACTATTTATTCAAATAGAAGACGCGACACATTGAATAACATAAGCGAAAGTTGGTTTGAAGACTTAGCCAGATCACGTTCAAGAACTGCTGCGAATGCTGTATATTCTAGAAGAGGTGGCCTAAAATTTGTTCAAGAAAAACTGCATGCTTTATTTTTAAGAAGACTCGACGCGGTTCAAAACTAATTTCAAGAAAAGACGAGCTTAGATGAAGATGATTTAAGAATAACGTGTTCAAGAAGAGGACTCGGTTCGGTCGCAAAACTTTGTCAAGAATTTTTATATAGCCTCTATATATATATATATATATGTATATTTGCAAGAAGACGAACTGTTATCAATTTGCGACGGGTAAGAAGTGCTCTGTAATTTAGCAAAATGTAGAACGAAAATATCGTGAGTTTCGTAGCGTTAATCAAGTTATTATTGAATAAGAAACATATTGAAATGTATATTCATACACTATATATGCACTTATTCAGGCGATTCCTGTTCTAATGGCAATGCCAGCGTAGCACGTAACTCTCTAGATGCCATCGATGAGGAAATGGGTATGGGAACCAGCTGCGAATGCCAAAGCATATTTTATTTATAATTTCTTATCATATTTACAGATGTGGACGTGTCGCCCTCATCCCGCAATTATGGGCGTGTCATTGAGAAGATTTTGGAATTTGGCAAGGAACTGTCCAGCATGGGCCAGCAGCTAGAGAAGGAGAACCTCATGACTGAAGAGGAGCGTCAAATGTTGGAGGTGCCTCGCAATAACTATAAACTAACTAAATATGAGATTATTATTTAAATTTATGTATATTATCCATGAACAGGATGCATTTAGCTTGATTGCCTACTCAAATCCTTGGTCCAGCCCCTTGGGCTGGCTACTGTGTCCCTCGCGACGTGAGAACGTTTCCACCACGCTCAACTCAGCCATATTAGGTAGGATTGGAGGATCTGCAATCTATGGCCAACTTTCACTATATATAATTCTTGTGTTACCCACAGAGTCGCTCAATTTTGAGCGCCGGCCGCCGCTTGAGTATTTGGTGGCGCATGCGGCGGAGCTATTGAAGATAATTGGACAGCATTCGCTGGGCGAGGATGCTTTCATTACCATCGACGATGTGTTCCCGCAAAATTGACCCAGTTCGCCGACGCTGCTAAAGATGTTCGAGACCACGCTGACTCTGCCGCGCACCAGCGTGCTAACCGAACCGCTGGGCAGCGTACCCTCCACATCGACGGCCGCCGTGCAAACCACCAAACGGCGGCGACGGCGGCGCAACAAGCGTCGCCGCAAATCGTCCATATCGAGCAGCGAGGCGACCTCAACCAGAAACTACGATCCCGTCTTGACTGCCAATAGTATACGCGGCGGCAATTCAGGCACAGCACGTCGTGGTCGACACAGGGGCGTTGGTTCCGCATCATCTGCAGCAGCAGCAGCTGCAGCGGCAGCAGCAACAGCAGCAGCAGCAACAACAACAACAACAACAGCAACAACAACAAGAACAGCAGCAGCAGCATCCGCAGCAGCAGCAGCTTCATCATCGGCCATGAGCGATGGCAGCAGCCCGGCGCTATTTGTGGATCCGCACGACTTCTTCGAAACGCTCGACTAGATTAAGATTATAAACGAACTGTAATCTGTAATCTGTAATCTGTAGTAGGTTAATTCTGTTGTTACTTCACATATTTTACACGCTTCAATGCGGCTATTTAATGCCCTTCTTTTAATGGTTTAAAATTACGAAAGCTAATGCTGTCAAAATTCTTTTGGCGATTGCGATGCGTTGTGCGTTTTGATTTAGCAAGATTTTAATAACGTTTTACAAAAATTTTTTATATAATTAGCCTTTCGGATATAAGTCTAAAGCAAACAGTGTGTGTAATATTATTCTTATGTATAATTCAACAAAATAGTTGCCGTGCTGCGCCACGCCCCCCCTATGAAACTAACTGGCAAACATGATTCTGTGTGCGTATTGTTTATTGTTTTACCTACTGAAGCGCAATGCTGCTAAGAAGAGATAACACCAAAATAGTTTCTTAAATACCAACGCAACTCTTTAGCATATTTAAAAGCTGTACGTTCATTTAACTTTAAACTAGAGTTTACAACAATTTAATCGCTTAAATCAAATGCAATCTGAGAAAAAAAAAACAACAATATATATAGCTAACTGAAACATTGTGAACAATTCAAATAAACTAAAATTCATTATACTTATTGCGAGATGTGAACAATATCCGAGCTGAGCCCCAATTTATATTTGGGTGCGACAAAAAAAATGCAAAACAAATTTCGATGAATTTTTCATAAGAGCAAAAGTTTTAAGTGTAATATTTCGCTGTAGTAGCAACTAAAACTTAATCGATAAGTATATACAACTGACATCGTTTAAATATACATATACGTATGCATATATATATATACATGTCAACATATGTGTATTTCAAGAAAGCTAAAAACAAGACAATTTTTGTACTTCTTTTGATCCGCGTTAACATTGCAACAGCTGTTAAAGTTAACAGAACTCACAGCTGTTATTTTAAGTTTATTTCACATTGTTTGTAGCACAGAAAAAAAAAACATACCATTAACAAGCACTTGGATTATCTAATATACAGTTTATATTATTATATAATACTAATCTACAAATCCGGCTGCCTAATGCGCTGCACACGCTCCGTATTCTTGACATGCTGCTTCAACAATTTCATAATATCCGTATCATATTCGGGCGGCGTGGGCTTTGTTTCCGTGGCCCAATAATAGATATCCCAATCGTTGCTAACCCCATTGATGAGCTTGTCGTACAGCGCGGTCTCATCCTCGTCGAAATCCTTCAGATACTTTGCCACAAAGGTGCTCAGCAGCAGATCATTCTCCAACATGCCGCGTTTGCGCGACTGATACAAAAGCCTGGAAATTGGTATGCGATAAATTAATCAATTTTATTCATTTAATTGTGTACCCACCGCTGCTTGCGTGTCGCGAGTGGCTCGTCGGGTCGCACTGGATACTCCGGCACCGGCAAACCTTCCGGATCCTCGTAGTCAATCACCTCGGGAGGCGTGGAGTACTCGCTTTTGTCGAGACCATTTGGTTTGCTGCTCAGACAGCGTTTGGGCGTGGCCAGCGGCAGCAGCAGACGGCGCGCAGCTGTGGAGCACTAAAGCAGCGTTTTAGTAAAGCTTTTAAGACTAGTTAAGCCAAATACTTGCCAAAAGTTGACGCAACATTTTATTTATCTGTGCACAGTTATAAAGTACGCAATAATGAACAGCTGTTCGAAGCCAGGGCTGTAAAAATGTATGCAGCTGTTAAGAAATAACAGCGATCTAACAGCGTGACCTACTTTACCATTAACAAAATGTTATGAGCAGCAAGCATTAAATTATTGTATAAAAGTCTGCTTTTTATTAATTAGTGCATGCAAGTTACTGTAATAATTTAAATTTAGAAACAGTAGTTAATATGATCCAAGCATGCTACAACTGCGCACTGTCGCTCGCATTTGAATTCAACTGTGCGCAAACGACAATCGCTGCAAGCTGCACACTTAACAGTCTGTTAAGCCCAGAGCGTTGCCACATACAGTCCGCCAAATGTAAACAAAGTGCATGGAGCTGATGGTCTGGCAATGCCAGAATCAGTTTGAAAGAGACAGCGAGAGGCAGCAAAAGTGTGTTACAAGTTTTTGCACACCCGAAATATTCCAATTAAATTAGAATTAATGCAAATTTAAAACAAAGTGCAAGTGCTAAACATTGTGCAACGGGTAATGGTGATCATAAAGTGTTGCCAAATGTGCAAGAGCAATCAAAGAAAATAGAACCTGAATAGCTAACAAGCAAGCGACGGGCGTAGAAGAGGGTGGCCTCTGTGCTGCGCGCTGCGCTGCTCAGCTCTGCTCTGCTCAGCTCGTGTGTGCAAGTGTTGTGTGTATACGCTGGCGCTGGAAACTAGGCGGTGGTAAAATGTAAAGCCGAAAAAAAAAATACGAAACGAAGAAAATTGCGCTCACGCTGCCCGCCCTGGCGGTGGGTGGGAGAATGTGTATATATATATATATGCGTGTGTGTGTGTGTGTAGAGTGCGTGTGCGTGAGAGTGCGAGCGTGAGCGAGTGAGCAGCGCGGCATGAAACTACTAAATGGAAATTTATACAAGCGACCCAAACACCACCCAAGCAACCACCCAGCCGCCCAACTAAAACCTAAACGCGACGCACCCACGCAAAAGCCGCATAAAAAGAACTAAACGTTTCTAAAAGTTACACAAAACGCAGCATCAATAGAATTCGGAACGGCCACTGGCAGATCGTCTCCGGTCTCCAGTGTGACCACGCGCCGTCTTAGCCGGCACAACGACCCGTTTAACACATCTGCGCCCACGCCTTCCACACACAAACACACATACACACACACATACATGTACTGAAAAACGCAGGACCTGGCCACACTATGCACAATATTTCCCAAAAAAAAAAAACAACAACAGTACATGATAAATTGCCAAAAAGGCGTACATTTTTTTTCCTCTTGCATTCTTTTAGTCAGTTTCGATAGCATTTTCTGATTAGATAAATGGAATTGATGAATATGTGTGTGTTATATTACATATTTTCCATTCAAGCCATATGTAAATTGGCTAGAGCAGTGCCTGCTGCTGCTGCTTGCTCTCGTTGTTGTTTTTGTCGCTGATAACAAAATACAGCAACAAAAACAACAACAACAACAGCAACAAAAGCGCAGTTCAATTATAGCAGCGCGCGCCCTATTGGACGGCAAGACAGTGGCGGCCATAAAATTAGGTGCACTTGTCAAGTGGGCAACACTGTTATCTCAATGCCGGTGCGTGCCTGCGTCTGCGTATGTGCACGCGCGCGCATGTGTGTGTGTGTGTGTATGTGTGACTCATTGCTCATTGAGTTGCTGTTGTTGTTGTTGATGTTGTTGTTGTTGTTGTTGCTGTCACTTCCCGTGTCAGAACGGCTGAACGGTCAGTTGTTATTGTTTATGCAGAAAAATCCAATTGGATGCTGCGCGCTCGGCTGCCATTTCCCTAGACAACAAATAAAAAAAAAATAGAGAAGAAAAAAATAGAGATTACATACAGAAATACTCAAAGAAATAATCAAATATTCGCTTATATTTCAGTGTGTATATTGTAATTTTAAGCAATTTGTAAATAAGATAAAAGTATAATCAATCAAATCGAATCAAATCATCAATAACTAAAAAGCGGCCCACTAAAGCAACACCCCCTAAACTTTAACTGACAAGTGCTGCCAAAGCCACAAAACTAAAAAAAAAAAAAAGAAAAAAAATAAACAAAATGGGCTGCACTACATCGGCTGAAGAGCGCGCTGCCATACAACGTTCCAAACAAATCGAGAAGAACCTGAAAGAGGATGGCATCCAAGCGGCAAAGGACATTAAACTTTTGCTACTCGGTAAGTGCAATTTACAACAATTTATAACAATAACAAATGCAATCGTATGCGTTTTTTTTTTTTTTTTTTTTATTTTTCTTCTGTTTGTTTATGCACACACTCAGAACTTTCGCTCAGGAAGTCGCTGTGCGTTCCCCTTTTTCAAAAAGCAAACAATATCATCTTTTGTGTACCTACATAAATGGAATTTCTTTATCAGTTGCGAGTCGCAAAGAGCACTTGAGCACTTGTTTAATGTTGTTTTCCTTTTAAGTTTTTTTTTTTTTTTTTTTTTTTGATAGACCAACTGCATACAGGCTCAATTATTTTAGGCCCTGCACAGTGGTGTGTGCTGCAGTTTTTATGGGCCATTAGGAAATGTTTGCAATAAAATAAAATGCGATATGATAAATATTTGATTGTTTTTTACCTTTGTCGAAATATTTGGTGAGCTGTTCTTCAATGGGTATTCAAATAAAAATTGATATTATTAAAAGTTTGTCTTCAATGATTTTATTATGGAATCGAAGTTTATATCCTTAAACTTTATATAGTAAATTTTAGCTCGTCAGTTTCTTCTTTTTCAAAATAAAACAACAAGAAAAATCAATACCCAATTTATTGTTCTCTACGCAATTTGTGTAAGCACATGATGAGAAATTTGTTGGCAAAACTTGCCACCAAGAAGAAAGTGAAAAGCGGAAAGAAAAAAAAAGAAAAACGTAACTCAAGGCTGATGCATCATCCAGTGGCATGAAAATTTATTCTTAGCGTGTGTTGTGGCCAAGGCAACAAAAGACGACCGAAAAACTAACAATTGGGTCAAATGCGATGCTTGCATGTCATCCGTTGTCCGGCTCTCGTTTTCGTTCTGCCTCACTCACTCCCATTCCCGCTTCCAATCCCGTTTCCATTCTGGTTCCTCTTCTTGTTCTGGCCAGATTCGAGTGCTTCTGCTTGCGACTTAACACTAATGACAACTGACAAATCGAGGAAAATGCGGTGCAATGCATTTTAGAGTGCACTCAGACCACGGTGCAACTGTTGCGGCTGCATTCGAGTGTCTCTCTCTGTATGTGTGTGTGTGCAACAGCTATGTGCAACAGAGGCGACGCCACGCCAAGATGCGTCAGGCTCAAGTGCGCCCCTTCGCGCTAACCTTCTACTCTACACTCAGAGAAAATACTGTTCTAAATTCTTGTTAAAGATTTTTTGACATGTTCCTATTTAAATCTTTTAAATATTTTATCTTGATTTCAAAATAAACTATAAATGTAACACAAATAAGTAAAGAAATTCTTTTACAAAAAGATATAAATAGAAAAATTAGTACAAAAAGTACAAAATACTTTTTACAACAATTTGCTTGACTTACACAAAGAAATAAAAATGAAAGATCAGCTGGAATTAATTTAAAAAAATTGTGTTTAAAGCATTTTCTAATTGAACTATATTTAATACTTATATTAAATTAATAAAAGTTCAGCATTTTCACACGGGTAGTCGCTTTTTTCGCTGAGTGTAGCCGCTGGCGCGCCTGCATCCGCCAAAACGGCACTTGGCATTCAAGCGTTTGCACGTGTAGCTTTACCTGTCGATTGACATGAACCACAAGCCACGCGCCATGCAACGCGTAGAGGGAGCGAGGCGACGGACAACTCACTCGTCTGGCAGCTAAGCACTTAAACAGCTCGCGCCACTGACATTGACATTGCTGTCGTCCGTTAATCCCATTTAGCCAAATGCCACGCCCCAGATCCTGGACAGAGGGCAACACAAAGCAAAAGATATGTGTGAGATGGCAACTAGCTCGGAACTCAGAGGGAAAGTCAGGCCGAAAAACAGGACTCGTCCGCCAATGCGAATCAATTAGATATATGATATGTTACAATATTGTATTATATATTATAAAATATATAATGAGGATTATTAATGAGGATTCCTTTAAAGCGGCACGACTTCAGATTTCGATTAGTAAATAACTTGCAGGAAAAGGCAGAGGCAATTTATTATCTTAGTACACATTATCACATCCATCAAAGCTAAGACTTCAAAATGTTTGTCATCTCCCTATCTCTCTCTCTCTCTCTCTCACACACTCTCTGTTGCCTAGTATAATGATTACAGGTAACTGGCAATTGCATCTGGGCCAATATGTTTCGTAATGTGGCTCTCTCTTTGTTGTCGGTTGCACTTTGGGCCAGAGACGAATGGCAGGCCGGAAGCATTAAATGGCGGCAGGAAGCAGGAGCAACAAACAATGAACAATGAACGAGAACAGGCGACAACACGACGTCGCTTGTAACTGTTGCCAGCTGAATGTGCATGAGCTCCGCCCTGCCATGCCCCGACCTGCTCCGACCTGCCCTCTGCCTGCTGTCCTGGGTGTGGTTGCTTTTTCGGTCTGTGGACAAAACATCGATACACAAGTGCCAACTGGTCCTTGCCAATGCCCCCTCTACCCTCTACCCCTAACGGATGCCTAAACACTTTAACATAATTTTGCAGCCAAAAGGGGCTATTGAGGAAACATTTGCCGCTTGTGTTTTATGGCCCAAACTGCAGCAGCTAAGTGATATGTGGCCAAAGACAGACAGGTCGAGAGAGAAAGAGAGAGAGAGAGAGAGAGAGAGAGAGAGAGAGAGAGAGAGAGGGCGATAATAAACACTTTTTAGAAGGAGCGATATTTCAGGAACGTGATTTATTAGTTGAAATGCCAAATTCTGTAGAAGAATTCGAGTTTTTAGGGGGGAATATGTGCAAAGCGAATAGTTAACATGCAGATATCTTATAAGGTACTTCTAAAAGTGAAAGACCAGATATGGTATGTGGCCAAATATGCTATTATTTGATAATATTTCTTATCGAGTTCATGCAAACTTGACAAATTATCGATACTTGCAGAGAAATTCGAGATCGAAGACAGACGGACAGACAGACTAGAGGAAATGCCGAGAATTAATATGCTATTAGACTATAGATATATATACTTTTCTTCTTTTCCATGGATTCTCAGAATAAAAATAAAGAGCAAAAAACAGGAATAAACTGCTATTAAAATCTTAAGAATTACCACAGCTTTATATTTTAAGTTTTCAAATGTTTTGCTAGAAACATTTAATGATCTCTTTTTCTTAAGACCTGCTAATCTCCATTAGAGAAACCTAACATGGCTTGCATTTTATTCGCGAGAAAACTGAATTTTCTTTTTCCAGAAATCGCTCTTCAAACAACAAAAAGTTTTTCTACTTAAAAAGTGGTTAGGTAACTAGTTACCCTGTTTTTCAATGGCATCAAGCACAAATCAAACATTGTTTAACAAAAAAAAAAAAAAAAGAAAAGAAAAAAATGTGCAAATTGATTTGTAATTTTCAGAAAAATGTGCAGCACACAATTTCCTTTTGTTGGCGAACTGAGGGCCAAATTGATTTTCCAGCTAAAAAGTATTTGTTCTTTGCCGAATGCACTAAACTAAAATAAACGAAAGAGATTGCATTTGTTAACCCTCCCCCCCCCCCCCCCTCCACTTGGCGTGCAAATAAACAAAAGAATCGTTAAATAAACTATGGAAAATATGCCAAACATAACACAAATCGAATTTAATTGACGCGAGTCAAATGTCGCACAAGAGGGCCAAAGACGCCCCGCTCCCCTCCTTAACAAGAGACAACCTATCAATGTGTGCGAGAGAGGGGGAGAGTGGAAGAGAGAGCGAGATAGAGTGTGCAACTCTTCTCCCCTTCCACTTTTCATCCCAGCTCGTTGTCATTTAAAAAAGAGTTCGCGTGTTAATAAAAATGAACATTGTTAGATGGAAGCAGACAATTTGTTTGTCGTTGTCATTGGCTGCGGTTACCCCCCATCTTCTTCTCCCCCTCAGGAGGGATGGGGGGGGGAGGGTTGGCGCTCTGCCCCTGGCCTAACCCAATTCATTCAATAATTTCATTTGCCAGTCGTTCACTGTATTCACTTTTTGCCACTGTCCGCTCGCGAATGATGATTCAATTGAATTTGTTGTTTTGCGTAGCCCCTACACGGATCCCTTCCCCCCACCGTCAACCCTTGACAGCTGCCCTGCTAAACCAGGGCAGCCAATTCGAGCATGTCTGTCGCTTTGGCACGCAATTTGACCGTGCTGCCATGGAATGCAATTACCTTACCCGTCTCTGGCAACGACGTCAATTATCGCCGCATTTAACGAGGGGGTCATCTGTTGTGTGGGCGGCAGGTGGTCGGTGGGCGTGGTTTAGTGATGGTTGCACCTGTTATTCCTGGAAATCTCGGCACAGGCTATCAGTTACCATTGTGCAATTGCGCTCATAATCGGGCGAAGATTCTAATTAAAACTAAAATTCAAGGTTAGCTGCAACGTAACTAATTGGAATTGCTTACGAAAATATAAATTTCTGATTTTCATGGCTAAAACGGATCGTGTTCCAATCAAAAGGTCAATGTGGAAAAACTGCAATATGCATTTCATTTAAAATTATCTTAACGTTTTTGAGGCTTAAAACTAACTAACTAAACAGAAATCTAACTAATAAATCATGATTAATTAATATTAATTGACATTAATTGATTGAAAAAGGAAACTTTGCTATAGCCGAAATCAGAGTCTAGGAATGAAGACTTAAGATCATTTAATGTTAATCATTTCAACTAACTGTCATATTTAAATACCATACCATAATAAACCGAATTGGGCAACCTTTAAGTGTCAAAAATCAGAGTCTGAGCATCTTTAAGTATAAGAGATATCAAAATAATAGATAAACAATTTAAACTTATAATTATCATATTAAAATACCATAACAAATTATTTATTTTCTTAATAGACACACACTTTAATTTAGTTGCAAGCAAATATTATTTATATACTATCTATTTTGTGACTAATTGGAGGAAAACCTTTGAAGAAAACTTTGATAAGTCAACTCTCGCCTCTCAAGCAAACCTAAATTGAACTTGTGCAGTTGCCATATGGCAAGTTTTTCTAACTAATAGCCAATAAAAAACTATTAACTCGCCCATTGACATTCTTGGGCTGATATTTAGCTGAACTATGGGCACCATTTGGCATGGTAATCGTTTGCAGGCTGTAATTGCCCTTCGAGCCTTGCGTTTTTATGAGCCGTGCAATAAGATTAATTGAATTTATATGGTGTAGTTGATTGTTGAGTGTGTGTTTGCCTGCTTTTACCTATGCATTGATTTGTTTTTTTTTTTTGCGGGGGGGATGTGAAGGATGTACCTCAATGAAATACGATATGGCTCTAATTGAACGGCACTCGAAACGCAAAAGCTTTTGGTCAATTAACGCTGCCAGCTGAACATTCAATCAAACCAGCCAATGACAATGACTGAACAATATATTCAGCAGCCATCAATTGGCCTCAATTTTTCCAATTCTTTACTTCTTTTTTTTTTTTTTCTTTTTTTATCTAATCTGCCGCCGGCGGCAGTCGTTGTTTTTGTTAGCGGTATCGTTTTCCGGTCAAAATACTCGTCCTGTCGGCTGTCAACGTTCGTCATTTTCCGCACTCGCTGCTTTCGGGCCGGATGCTAGCTGGTGCAGCTGGCGGGCGGGCCCAATGGCTGCCTAATTGTCAGCCGTTTAAAAGCTAAGCTGCCTAAAACTGGCTTTAAAATAGCATGCCTGGCTGCCTGTGTGTGCGTGTGTGTGTGTGTGTGTGTGTTTCGCGTGGGCTACACTCGTTGCTGTTGTTGTCCTTGCTTTGTCGCACTCGCTGCTCGACACTCGCCGCCCGCATTAACTAAACCAATTGCAGCGCGCGCTCGCTTTTACACATGTATATGCTCTGCCCCTCTCTCTCTCTCTCTCTCACCCACTCACATTCTCCTTCTCACTGCGTGGCGCACTCTCTCGCCTTTGTGCTTTTTCGAACATTCCAGCCTGTCAGTCACTCACAAGCTCCTTGACATGCGCGCGCTTTAAGCTTTCTCTCCCACTCTCCTACACGCGCGCCGTAAAGCTTTTGCCAGTCCATTCACTAATGTGTATGTGTATTTCCAAAAAGCTTTTACTTCGGCTGCGCTGCAGCTGTGAGTGTGCGTGTGCGTGTGCGTGTGAGTGAGAGCGGGAGCGGGAGAGCGCGCGCTGGTGAGTACGTGCAGGCGCGTTTAGGGCGGCTCCAGTTGCCAGTTCGTTCAGTCCAGCGAGTCCAGCGCCAGCTCCAGCCAACTCAGTCAGTTGGTTAGTTTAAGAGCGAGGCGAATCGTCCAAAAGCACAAAAAGAAAAAGAAAAAATAAAAGAAATTCACGCGAATTTTCACACCGTGTAAAATTCAAAGTCAAAAATAAAACCAAAAATAAAGTAAAAAAAAAAAAAAAAAAACTGCAAAACTTGAATTAATAATTGTGAAAATCTTTCAAAGAATCGTACAAAATATAAATCGTTGAACAACAATTGAATTTTTGCGCGCCCTTTAGATATGCACAGATGCGACAAGTGCTCGATAATAGCTCGTTAATTGCACGCGAAAATTAAAGAAAATTTTTTAGCTGTTTCGCACAAATTTTCATGAATTTTTACGCGCATGAATCATAATTTTGCGCTGCATGCTGTGCTGGAGGCGTGCAACAACAATAAACAAAAGAAGGCAGCAAAAAAAAAACAAAAAAAAACAATCAGAAAGCAAAGAAAATTTCAATTTTCCGTGCTTTTCACGAAACGAAAAACTGTAGCAACAACAATAAGAACAACAGCAAAGTACTCGCATTCGCACTTGCTATTTGCTTTGCGTCAGAATAAGCAACCCCTCCGGCCGCCCAATCAACCCCAACACCTTCTGCCCCCCGTCTCAGTCACTCTCTAGCCCTCTCCCTCTCTCGCTCGCTCGCTCTTAGATCTGTGTGTGAATGTGTTTATGGCCACTTGTAAGACCAGCTAGCGAATTGGGAAAAAACTCTTGGTCATGTCCATGGGCATTTTGCATATAATAATATGCCCCGCCATTCATTTGTCTATCAATATTATTTATGGCCACTCATAATAATCGTCTATGCATACATATATATATATATATAAATACGGTATATATATATATATATGCTTATCCGATATGCAATATCGTTTTGCCTATAAAGCAACTTTCAATGTGTTTCGCTAGCGTGTTTTATTGATTTTTTTGTTTTTGGTTTTGGTCACACGCTGCGTATGCGTGTTGTGCGTGTGCGTGTGTGCATGTGTGTGTGTGTGTGTGTGTGTGTGTGTGTGTTTGTCAAGGCTCTAGTTGCAGGCACAACATCTTGTATGTGTGTACCCCACCTGCCACCCTTACCCGCCCCTGGCCCATAACTTGCCAATCTAGCCAAAAATCTTGTATATGCGTTAATTGTATTCTTTTCTATTACAACTTGTATTTTTTTCTAGTTTAATTTTTGTGTTTTTTTTTTTTTATTATTTTTTTTTGTCTAGGAGTCAAAAAGCACAAAACTTGCAAAAGCTTTGCACGAAAAAGTTTAATTTCGAACTCGCTCTCGCATGGACTCGCACTCTCTCCCCCTCTCTCTCTCCCCCTCTCTCTCTCCCTCTCTCTCTCTCTCTCTGTTTGGCCAGCTGGTTGCAGCTTCGGGTAGGTTGTTGGCGAAAAAGCACGCGGCGCGAAGTTTTATCGTTCAAATCGGCGACTCATTTCGTGCAGCATCCGCATGGCAAACGAACGTGTCTCGGCTCTTATCCTGGGATCCTGCCTCCTGTTTGTCAACAAATGCGCATAAATTCAATTGTTGTTCGGTTATGTCACCCGCTGACAAGTGTACGCAAATAAATATTCAATTCAATTCCACTTCTCTTACTCGATCTGCCATCTAAAAATCCGCGCAGTGTAATACAGCAAGTGTAATACAGTTCAACATTCTTGAGCGCAATTGTAAACAAATATTGTAAAAAAGACAAATAGAGTAGAAAAAAAAAAACAAAAAACAGAAAACAATTTTCAGCTGAGCAGCTGAGAGTGTGGGCCAGCTAGTTGGTTGGGCTTGTTTATTTGTTTGTTAATTTCCGTTTCACTTCTGCCCCCCCGCGTGTTCGGCCATTGATTTGGCCGATATCAAACGACCTTCAAAACGTTTTGCGTCGAGGCAATACGCACCATGGGCTGCGCACAGTCTGCCGAGGAGCGAGCCGCAGCCGCCAGGAGTCGCCTGATCGAGCGTAATCTCAAAGAGGATGGCATCCAGGCTGCCAAGGAGATTAAGCTGCTGCTCTTGGGTGAGTTCTGTCAGGCCTAACCCCCCTCCGTTTCACTCTTTGCTGGGTCTCTGGCACCCGCGTAATTACCATAGCATACTTAGCGGCTGCTCGGCTCTGCATATAAATTCAAAGCTGCCTGCCCCTGCCACACATTCAAGTGGCATTAACGAGCTGTCCTGCTGCTGCTGCCGCTGCTGCTCGCGTAATTTAACAAAAAATTTGTTATTTTATTTATATATTTTTGCTGATTGTCTGCATTGGCAGCGCAGACACGCAGCTCGGCAAAATTTGCTTGTTGTTGCTGCATGTAAATGCCATAAATTTAATAATCACAATAACATATTTTCATGCTCAGACAATTTGCTAAAGTTCAAGGTCAAGCAACGGGTGTGGGTGTAAATTCTCCACACTCTCTGTATGCGGGTGTGTATGTCTGCGAGTGTGTGTGTGTTTGCTCATGATGTGCCTGCTTTGCACCGGGAATCGTTGATTGCAAACTGCAATTACATTATGGCCAACTAACTGGAAACGTAATGACTCAAGCATTAGGTCTGCAAGGCACTTAGATACTACATAAAAATAGAAACCTAATGTTGTATTGATTTTCTCTCACCCCCTTTGGGCTCTTGATAGATTTGTAATTATTTAATATGATTTTATAATGGCTGTAAATTATTTCTACAGAACTACCAAGGCGCAACACAAGCAAATCATAAGCAGAATTTCTAAGAAAGTTGTCTTTACTTCTGCAAGATAAATTCAAATGTTTGCGATAAATCGAGAATATCTATTTTACACTTAAGATAAGATTTTCTATCCGTTGCAAAGGAATTTGCACAAATATGATTGCTTTTCATAAATGTGCTTTACTTGAAATCCTTTCTCCGTAAAAATATCCTTATATTTGCTAGCAATCGTTTTTATGCGGAATTTAAAACATGAATAAATTGCAATTGCCATTGCTCCACAATTTAAATAGAAAGAATAGCAAAAGTTATTAATAAAATGCGCAAAATTTCCAGAAAATGTAACTTTTCATAACTGGCACGTTTTATTCATAAAACAAGGTTTGCTTAATGTAGAATACAAATAGTGTTGAATTTGCGCTGTGCACAAGTCGAATTCGAGCTCAATCTTTATGGAGTTAAGCTATACTTAGCTTAAGGCAAAATTAAGCACGTTTCTCTAAAAAAATATCAACATAGAGCTAAGCTAATGAGTAGAGCCTTTAGCCAGAATAGAATCTTACGAGCATTTCATTTGGAAAGGGTATTTAGAATAGTAATAGAAAGAAGCAAATGTAAGCTACAGATCACTTTCTATGCAAACGACTTTCAAGTCTTATTCATATTATTCTTGAGCATATAATTCACCTAGCAAATGCTTACAGGGTATCTGCTGGGCTGGCTTTCCGCTTTGTACAGCTCTTAGGCAATTTGTGGAGCACACATAAACGAGTAATATTCATAATTTGAAGACATGGACCTCTGTTCCACTGCGCTGCTCTCTTTTTCGCTTTGCGTACTTGTGTATGTGTTTCATTTTTCATTTCCCCCCAATTTTCATTTTGTTTTTTTTTTTTTGTTTTTTTTTGTAGTTGCCTGCAATTTGGCTGATGTTTACATTTTTTTTTTTTTTTGTATTTCATTTAATTTCCTCTTGCAAATATCAGCGTACGTCTCGCAAAAGATTTAATTTCTGACAGTTTTGCGTGTTTGTACAAAATGTTAAATTCTGCTCAGCGATTCCTAGTGTGCGTTGTGTGTGTGTGGTGTGTGAGTGTGTGGCGTGTGTGCGTGTGTTTGCTTTTCTCACACTGGAAAAGTGTTTATTTAAAATAAGTTTGGCTGTATTGTGTGCGCGTGTGCGTATTCAAAATCGAGCACAAATTCATAATAATAATCAAACAAAAACTAAACTTTTACCTCGACCCCGCTCTCATTGAGTGCCTCTCCCCCTTCTCTCTCACTCTCTCTTTCTCTCTCTCTCTCTCTCTGTCCTGCTTGAGCTATTTATGCAATTTACGTAGGCATTAAATTTAAGCACTCGCCTTCACTTCCCATACAAACATCTCATTAATTTAACGTGCCTGCAGCCATAAACAACGCCTTCAAGAGTTGAGCTAGATAAACTTTTCGATCCATTTGCTCAACTCCCGAATTGATTGTTATAGATTCGAAAGTTCTTCAATGACTGCATTCACAGAATTGTTGCATATACACACACATATATTTTTAATCGAAAAACATTCCTGGACAATTACATTGCGCAGCGCATTGAACTTATTTTTCACAGCAAAACAAAACAAAAATCTCGAAACTAAACAATTTCCATGGCGCATTGTTAATTTACGTACAGAGTCCAACATGTAAACGAGGCGCAACACGTTAAGTGTGCGCTACGGGTAAAGACCCTTTCGACATAGTCAACTCTATATATAGAACAGTACTTAATGGAGCTAACATTTGGAATGTGCTTAAACGGAAATTCCCGTTGATTGTCATAAATAGCGCAGCGCTCAAAGTTCCCGAAAGGGCTATTGGTCTCATATTTGCATTGTATTTTATTTGACTTTTATGGTTTGGGTTAACATAGGAAAAAGCTTTTCATCTTCTATTCGGCCAGATATCATTAGACATATAAAACGAACACAAATTAAATAATTGTCTTAGATACATTTCTTCCCTTTTCTTTTTCAAGTTTTCTGCAAGCAACTGCAAAAATTCTTTAGCGGAATGTTCTGCATTGATATATTCAAAATGCTTTTAACGATATGTATAAATTAATTTTTACTCTTTTGGGCGATCGTTGGGTTGGATCCTGCGTCCTTCGTCGCTTTTTGCTGCAAGACCTTCTTGCCCTTATACTAGGCTGAGCAGGGAAAGGGGCCACGCAGCCGGTGGTCACCCAATAAAGGAATCTTAAGATACCTTCCCAGAGTTCCGTTGTGGTTGTACCAAGACGATTCAGTACTTAGTTCCAAAGATTTGGCTTGCATAGCGCCCAATTGGAGCAAGTAGAGTTTTGTACAGCTGAACCTTCTTGCTCAGAGAAAGATTCATGATTGCCTTTTGGAGCCATGCTATTTATACGGCTCTAATGTACAAACATTTCTACTTGCTTCAGGTTGTTCAAGTTCGCAATAAATTAATTGATAACTTCGAATATTAATATCTGAATGCCTTTTGTAATGGGAAAGCTAGTTTCATTTTAGCCTTCTCTTCCTAAAATAGAACATCCTTTAATTAATATGTTTTAATATTTACTTAACAAATTGTTTTACAATTATTATACCTAACTTATTTCCCAGAATTATGCAACAAACTTTTATGCCAATTAAATTCTAACTTGTATGCCATTTAAATTTCCAATCCGTAGAATAACAAATTAGAAAATTCTGCAGAATCTTTAATAAATATAATTTGTGCGGGGCTTTGGCAATCATTTTCCAGCTGACTTAAATGCACAGCTTATCAACAAGTGCATGCAAAAGAAAAACAGCCCACTCAATTATGAGAAAAGAGAAGAAAAAAAGCGAGTAGGAAAATTCTGATGAAAAATGAGGGGAAAACTGCACAAATTGTGCAGAGCGCGTGGAATGAAAGCAGCTAAAATTAGACACGAGATGCAAACAAGCGACAGATGTTGGTGGCAAGCGGTGGGTAAAATAGCAAAGCAAGTAAAAAACTAGAAAACCATAAGCTAGACTCAACTAGAGCTATTTTGGGGCGTAGAGCATCCAACTTGACCAGAACCAGAACCAAAAGCAGAAATAGAAGCTGAAGCTGAAGCAACGGGCGCTACAATTAATCCTTTGTTTTGTCAGCGCAACTGTTGAGCTGCCCCACAGCCGAGACCAGAGCATAAGATGATTGCTCAATGCTGATGATGATAATGAATACAATGTTGATAATAATGATGATCATGATAATGATAATCATGGTGACGTTGTGAGTGTGTGTGTGTGTGTTGCGTGTGCTAAAGGCCATTAAGCTCTACTTGTATAATACAAAGCGCACACATTTAGAGCTCAACAACTACGAACTATGCACTTGTAATCTGTGTATAAATATTTATAGCCCCCTCCACCCACTCGCCACCCAAGTCCACGCCCCCAACGCTCCCATCCCACACTACCAAGCTACTTGCCCTGCCCTGAGTGCCCGTTTTGCGTCACTGCACATAATCAGACGCCTTCTGTATTTTGCACTTTGCATCTTTGCCACACAGACTTGAGGCGATTTTCCATAGCAAAAAAAAAATATATGCTCTTCAAATTATTTTATTGGGTATATTGATTTTATAGTGAAGTATGTAATGTGTATACGTTTGGGTATTGTTCAAATTATAATTTTGATAATTATAGGTTTACATTTAGTGAGATTTCAGCTTGTTTATAAAATTGTAATATTCCTTGAGACTTTCGCTTGTAAACTGCAATTGATTCAACTATTATCTTATCTATTAGCTTATGTTAGTCAAATAACAAGCTCTATTGTGTTTCCTACTCAGCTTAAAACATTTTCCTTCATTCTTTTGCACAAGTGTAAGCAATTTTGTTGAACTAAGTTTCTTCTACTTACAAGTTTTAATATAATCTAGCCAACTTATTTAAATACATTATCATACTATAAAAAACTGACAGCTTTAATTGCAAATGTTTGTCAAAAATCTTACTCTCTGCATCTATGTTTTACAGAAATCAAAACTAAACCAATTGTAATTATAAAGCTCAAATTGGCTGCTAGATTAAATATTTTTAGGTTTCTCTTGAGTAATAATTCGAATATACCTTCTTCAAGTCAATTTTTATGGGCAACAAAGTTTGGGGTTAATAGAAAAAGACAATTTATGAATAAAAACTCCTTTGAAGCATTGCAAAACAATCTACATATAATTATATATTTTTTATTAGTAATACCATAAATTATTTCAATACTTTTCCAAGATCAACTTGTTATAAAACAAGGGTATTTGTTGCACGAATACAAAACAATTTTTATGCATTTGCTAGTGTCGTATTTTTCTAACATGTGTATCTTATGTTGTGTCTCTCTCTTATTTGCAGGCGCCGGTGAATCGGGCAAAAGCACAATAGTCAAACAAATGAAAATCATTCACGAGAGCGGGTTCACTGCGGAGGACTTTAAACAATATCGACCGGTTGTCTACAGCAACACAATACAATCATTAGTTGCAATATTGCGAGCCATGCCAAATCTTAGTATTCAGTATAGCAATAACGAGCGGGAGGTGAGTGAATCACCATTTACTTGAATCTCTAATGCTGCATCTCGTATGTAAATGCATTCGTTTTTTTTTTTTTGTTTGTTCTTTTGCAGAGCGATGCGAAAATGGTGTTCGATGTGTGCCAACGCATGCACGATACCGAACCCTTCTCAGAGGAGCTGCTGGCCGCCATGAAGCGGCTCTGGCTTGATGCCGGCGTCCAGGAATGCTTCTCGCGCAGCAACGAATATCAATTGAATGATTCCGCTAAATAGTGAGTAACCATTTTCGAATAGATTATTGTGAATAGTTGTGTGGGTGTAAAGAAATCTAACGTTCTCAGCGTCTGTCAGTTTTCGTATACTTTGCTTCGACTACTGCTTAGCGAGTTTTATAATGTCTGTTGCTCTGTTAAAAGAACTCCACTTTAATTGCAATTAGACTGCCCAAACAGTTTTAATAGCAGCAGCTAAGTGCAACTCTTTACTCGTATACTCTCTTCAATTCTGCTTTGTCTGGCATTCGTAAACGTTTCTAAATTTTTATAAATTGCTTATAGTGCCTCCTTTACTAAAGAATCGTGTTGATTTCTTCTGGCAAGCTTTTAGGCGTGTCAATCGACAAATTGGAATCACATATTAACTAAAATTAATAGATAGATTGAAAATGTTGTCAAAGTAAATTCGACATTGCTCATGACCTTGAACTTATTCGACTTGTCCAAATGGACAGCATAAAAACTGGATTCAATTAATCTTGAACTCATCATAAGAATAATACGAAGTATATATATGCATACATTATCCAGCATAGATATCGCACAACAGACACATAATCCCAGTGAATAATCGTTGCCAAGACAATTTCTCTTTTCGCTGCTGTCTGTGTTCCAATCCCATTGCGTTTCGCTCATGTTTATATGCATGATTAATGGATAAAAAGCGTTGCATACTTTTTGGCTCTTTATTGGCTACGACTTTTGGTTGCGTACAGTAAAACTAAATTGATGACTAACACGAATACATAAATATATACAAGCGCTTTGCTGCTGTCCAAGCTGAAAGATACACAGTTGCAGATACATTTGTATCTCAAGCCCATTTGCTTAATTAAAACCAAATGAAAAACAAACAGCAGCAAATTGTAATGCGTTCCGCCAAAAATATCACACAGCCGCCGTGTTGTGTGTGTCACAGTATTTTGTGGCAGCTGTGGCAGCTGCAAATCCTCAACGCAACGCCGTGCTACTCGTCGCGCGGTGTCAGTTTGAAATTTAACGGCGATTGCGGTATGTACGTGGAGTTGACGCGATAAATGAATTCATCCGAATCATAGGAAACACGGTATTTGCGAAAGATCTGCAATAACGAGAGACAATTAAAATGGGCTCCTCATCTTGCCTCATCCTCACCTTGGCCAGCAGCGTATGCAGCTCGATTTCCGCAAAGCGTCGACCCACGCACATGCGACGCCCGTAGCCAAAGGGCAGGCTTACAAACGGATGTATCTTCTGGCCGGCATGCGGGCAGCCTTCAGCTGAAATGCAACAACAACAACAACGTTACAGTTAACAAGCACCAATGTCCATGGCCCCCATCATTTGACTCACCTGCGCCCTGTTTGAGCCAACGTTCGGGCAGGAAACGTTTCGGCTCGGGAAAATATGTTGGATCATTCGAGACAACCAGATGTGGGAAGATGACGTGCGTCTGCATTGCATGTGGGGGACCAAAAGGTTATGTATTAACAATCAGTTATGTTTACGGCCACGCCTACTTACGCCCTTCGGCACATGGTAGCCGTTAATAACTGCATCCGCCTGCAAGTTGCGTCCATTCGCAATGACAACCGGCTTCATGCTGAAAATATATACGTATATACAAGTCGGATATGATATATATGTATTTAAGCACCTACCGCAGCGTCTCCTTGACGCAGGCCCGCATATAGGGCATCTGCTCAAGGACGTGCTGATTGATTTGCGCATCGCACGTTGGAAACACACGTTTCAGCTCCTCAAACAAACGCTGCTGCTTATCCGGATTCTTGGCCAATTGATAAATGGTCGACGAGGCCGCCACCGAGGTCTGCAAGTAAACCAGGGGGACAGTTGGGCGCATTAGGGCGTTGCCGATTATTATATTATATATTTCACAGTCTGTCCGTTAATTACCTAATGAGTTTTATTTATAGCCTGGCATTATGCAAATAATGATTGTGTCATTCGATTATCTAGCATAGATTACGCTGATATATATACATAGTCAGATATCAATGCTGTCATTATTTATAATGCTATGGCTATGAAACAAGGCTTTAAGTGGAAACAAAATTATCCTATCTATTGATAACTTATGATATACAAAAACCCTTTTAAGAGGTATGCTGAATATGTTGATATGATAATTAGAACAAATAGACTTTTTTCATTTCAAGTAAAGAAAAAATAAGAAAGCATACTCAACTAACTTTACAAGAAATAAGAAATAAGTTCTGTCTATTCGTTCGAAATGATTTCAAGCTGGCAATGCAGAAAAAATCCGATACATTCCCATCATATTGTCTGCAAATTAGATTGTAATGCCCGTCAAAAGCATATTTTAAGCTGTACAATCTAATAATTTGCATTACCAAATGGTTTTAGGCCTTGAGTTTCTCTTAGGACAATTACTCACCGTATCGACGCCGACAAGAAACAGATCCAGGGCCAGGACAGCTGCCAATTTTCGATTGCCCGTTTTGCGCACAATGCGCTCCACTATGGAAATGTCCGCCTCGTCTTTGGGTACATGCTGTGCCTGGTCCGCATCGGCCTTGTCCATGGTCTGGCTGATGTTCTTCATGCAAATGCTGCAGCGATAAATCAATCACATACACCAAAAATAAAACAAATAAATAGAAGATGGCAACCTACGCGGAAAACTGATCCAATGCGCGCACAAAGCTGCGATAGGCTTTCGTGGGAAAGACGCGCCACAGTGGCATGCGCAGCTCCAGCTCCGGCACCGCCCAGAAGAACGTATTGATTGCCTCAATAATTTGTTGCGCCTCGGCGCTGCCCTCCGGCTTCAGGCAGCCGAGTCGTGTGTCCAGCGAGACGCGACCCACAGCTGCAGGGGATAAAGAATGTAGGATATAAGCTCTTGCCTTCTTATTTAGTTCAACTGTCGCGTAGGACAACATTTTCTTGGCTTACATTCGAGCGCCCATTTGTACAGTTCGTGCAAAAAGTTATCGGGCAACTCCTGCTGCTCATTGCGCATCTCGTCTATGCTATATGGTAAAGGGGCAACGGGATTATATAATGTTGTGCCTGGCTATTATGTCATGCCAACTTACCGCAACATAAACTCGCTGGCTATATCATTCAGTGGAGGTATATATTTCTTGGCGGTTTGCGGCTGCAGCAGAATCTGTTGCACCTCCTGGCGAAAGGCCTCCCACTTGGGACCGTGCCTAATTGTGAGTGGATGGGAGGATAAGTGGGCGTGTTGCGGGCCTTTGCCAAATGCAACGTAATACTTACACGCCAATTAGACCAGCCACATCGCCAAAGAAGTCGCGCCGCAGCTCACCCTTGTAATGGCGCAGCGAAGGCATCGAGGGTCTGCCAAGTAGTAGAAGAACCAGAATATATAAGTATGTATATATGTTTAGGCGGGCAATGCGGCGTATGCGCAATTTGATGCTTTTAAAGGGCATGATGTCAAATAGGCTCAAACACACATAGGTTGTTTTTAGCTCATGGAGCCTTGCCTTTTGCCATAAACTTAACTCACATTACACAGGGAATTTCACATAGGAATTTCTCGCGTGCAACACATCAAACAAATAGAACAAAAACCCGGCTAAAATGATGACTCGCAGATACATTTGTGTATCTTGTTGATGTTCGCGCTCATATTTGCATTATAGCGACGCTCGCATGTCGCAATATAAAAATGGTCGCATTTTATTTTGTTTTACGACTTCAGCTGGCAAATACCGCAGCTCGCATTTTATAGCAGGGTGTCACGGTTAGTAGGGTGTAGCTGTCGGCCTCTTTGTCTATTTGTATTTTTTTTTTTGTGTTGCCCCTGGCAACAATATTCAATTAAATGGCATAAAATAAAAGTCATGCGACTTTATTTACTTTGCCACTGTGCAATTTGGACAAGCACAAAACAAATACACACACACGCATACGCATTAGGGGTATTCACTGCATCAGCAGCTATTTGAATATGTGTAGCTAAGCAAACTCTCTTTAACGATTGTAATTATATTTGTTTTATAGAAACTCGTAATGCTCGATCGTAAATGGTGTCTAATTTTTATACATTTCACTTTCTATTCATCACACATTTACTCCATGCTCGCTTTCTAAGCCAAGAATGTTGCCCTTGTTTAATCATTTGCTATCGATTAACATTTGTTGGTTTTTTATAAGATATTTTCTTTAATAAAAATCAATTATTCATTTACAAATTAAGCAGCAGCTGTGCATTGCAGCTAAAATATGCAAACATTAACTTTTATAATCTATGTTTGGCATTTTCAATATTTTGAATTGTATCAAATTGTGCTCTATTCTGAGTCTGCCAGCCTATTGTTTCTACCAATTTCCAAAATCTTGAGCACAGTTGAACTTTTGCTAAAAATACTTAGCTAAGCACATGAAAACACCTTTTTCCAATATTAAAAATCAGTTTCTGCCACATTTGTACTTTTTTTCTTTTTCGGAATTTAACACGTTCTTTCGATCCTTACCCTCAAGGGTCAACCCTATCTTTGTTTCCCATAAATAATACTTTTAATTATTTTAATTTAATATAAATTGTTATTACGAAAGAGTATGATAATTTGATCGTTGATAAAGACCGGTTTGACTTCAAGATGCGTAACAACTATGTCATAATTACTCTTTTAATTTTTGATTATAATCAGGTGTTTAATTATAATTATCTGTCTCTTTGCAACAGACAGCAATTATGTCAAAATAGGTTAATAATACTATAAATTAGGAATAAATAGTTCATTTTCTGTTGCTGACTGAATCTGTTGATAGTTTGATAACAAATACTTAATTTTTTGTGATTTTTCTTTTGTAAAGATCAAAGTTTAACACCCACTTCCGACTTTTTGCCAGGCTGTACCTTGGTACAATCTATTACTAAATACAACAGTCAACATATTTTTACAAAAAATGAATGCGTATTAATTGTAAACATATGTAAAATGCATTTCATTTGCATGCAAATGTCGCTGCTGACCTCTAAAAGGTCAACAAAAACT